CCCCAAAACCCCAAAACCCCAAAACCCCAAAACCCCAAAACCCCTTTTGAATTATATAATAATGAATAATAAATATTAATGGTAATCATATTGATGAAAAGGAAATTAATCGGTGTAAATCCACTTTAAATCCATAAAATGAATGGATACCTGAATTAAAGACTAATCCGAAGGCAGTTGAAATACTGATGCAATATTACAGAGATTCTCGTACCCAGTAGGTACGCACAATCAGGTTTTGGACATCGGTTTTAACGACTAGGGTCGTTTAAAATCGACTTCACATAAACCTGCATACTTGGGGAGAATCGATCCATAGGTATGCATACTTCAGCCTCGTGAATTTACTTAAGCTTCTAATTTAGAAGCTGTTTTGAGCTTGCATATAAGGAGTTTGGTACATCCCATCGTCACCATACATGCAATCACAATCTTCGTCATCTCCATGTTCCTCAACATGGACGACATGCTCGGAAACTACCGAGGAGAAAGAAGAAGACAAGTCTGACCCCTGGAACAAAGCGTCCTCAGGGAGGTTTGGCTTAGCCTTTTCTTGTTTACTCAGTTTAAAGGTAAATTCTTCAGAAAAGTCTCCTCTTGCTCTAGCTCTAGCTCTCTCACTATCTTCACCAACAGTACCAATAATAATATTATTATTAGCAAGGTTCTGGTGCAGATCCTGCTGTTGAGCAGCAGACTCATCGTCTATTTTATAAGTGGTAGTCGGCAAGAATGTGGGAGCTGGTGTGTTTACTCCGTTTAACCCACATCCTTGAGCTAATACACTGTGAACTCCTCAGAATTCATCTTCAGAACTCTCAGCAAGATCAACATCTGAGAAGGTGTCCATGTCGGAGGAATCTTCATTAGTAAAGGAGTCGAGGCTGCAAGTGTCAGCATCTAGAATTCCGTCAAAATTGGAATTATTATTAGTACTCGCGCTTTCGAGCATCGTTGCAGGAAGTTGAACTGAGGTGCCTTCTACAGGAGACAACCTATGAAAATTGTAAACAATAATTAACTTACTTAGTGTAGGTGCGCCAGAGAGATCCGTCGTTGTTGAGATACTCCATCTCTCTATCTGTCTGATTACAGTCTTCAAATGTCAAGAATGGAGATTCATTCTTGTCAAATTGTCTGAAAATTTGGGTGTTAGTTCTAAAGTCCATTTTTGTAATTTTTAAAATAAATTAATTTTATTGGATGAATCTATTTTATGAGTAATCGAAGGGGTTTTGGGGTTTTGGGGTTTTGGGGTTTTGGGGTTTTGGGG